GGTGTCTCTTGATTGGTTGACTTTTCTCATTATAGGTCATATTTTTCCACCTCTTTGCATGCTTGGTAATCTCTGGTTGAATGCCACACATTATGCATTTTGCCTTGTTAGGAGCTGTTTTTTTTTTTTAATGTAAGTCTTCTTGAATTTTATTCTGGGATACAGTTCAGTTGCTTGGGGTGTTTCATCCTTTGGGTCTTGCTTTGTAATTGATTAGGCTGGACCAGAGCAGCGTTTATTCTAGGAATAATTTTCCCTAACCACTGAGCCAAGCTCCTTCTGAGAACTCCACCCAGTGCCCTGTGAATCATGGATTTCTCACTCTGGCTGACGGGAGTAGGCACTGCTTCCTTCACGCTTCTCAGAAGTCACCTTGAGCAGTCTCCTCACGTATAGGAGCCATTAAATATTCCTTATATTTGCCTAATAATATGCCTTATTAGCTACAACTAATGACCACAGGGGATCCAATGAATGACCAACGGGGATCGTGTCCACGTCTCTAGGGTTCTTTCTTCAGCTCTCTTCCCTCTAGCACTGGTGATCTCCTGCTGCCTCAGTATCCTTGAATTCTGAACTCTTGTCTCCTTAATTCATAGAATATGCCTGGCTCTGTCTGGGTTCCCCCTTCCTATACTACACCCTGAAACTTCTCTTAAGGTGGTAAACTGGGACAATCTTATGGCTCACTTCGCTTATTTTCAGCCTCCTGGAGATCTCTTTCTGATTTGTTGCCTGATGTCCAATGTCTTGGAAACCTTTATTTCCTATATTCTGTCTTGAATTTGTTCTTGTTTGAAGTGAGAGGATAAATCAGGTTCCTGTTACTCCATCTTGGAAACAGACGTTTTTGCTCAATTTTTTTCTTTTTCTTTTTTTTTTTTTAGACAGAGTGTCGCTCTGTTGCCGAGGCTGGAGTGCAGTGGCACAATCTCGGCTCACTGCAAGCTCCGCCTCCCGGGTTCATGCCATTCTCCTGCCTCAGCCTCCCAAGTAGCTGGACTACAGGCGCCCACCACCACGCCTGGCTAATTTTTTCTATTTTCAGTGGAGATGGGGTTTCACCATGTTAGCCAGGATGGTCTCGATCTCCTGACCTTGTGATCCGCCCGTCTCGGCCTCCCAAAGTGCTGGGATTACAGGCGTAAGACACCGCGCCCAGCCCTGCTCAAATTTTTTCAACCTTCTTTTTCTCTTTGTGTTTCATTTTGGATAGTTTCTATTGCTATAACTTCAGATTAACTAATTTTCTTCAGTGTCTAATCTGTATCTTCCATTAATCCCATCCGGTGTATCAATGTAGTTTTCATCTCAGACATTGCAGTTTTCATCTCTAAAAGTATATGAGTGTGTGTGTGTGTAATACAGCTATATGTGTGTGTGTGTGTGTGTATATATATATATATATATATTTTTTTTTTTTTTTTTTTTTTTTGAGGCAGAGTCTCACTCTGTCGCCCAGGCTGAAGCGCAGTGGTGTGATCTCGGTTCACTGCAATCTCCATCTCCCAAGTTCAAGCACTTCTTCCTCAGCCTCCTAAGTAGCTGGGATTACAGGTGCGTACCACCACACCCAGCTAATTTTTGTATTTTTAGTAGAGACAGGGTTTCACCATGTTGGCCAGGCTGGTCTCAAACTCCTGACCTTGTGATCTGCCTGCCTCAGCCTCCCATAGTCCTGGGATGACAGGCGTGAGCCAGCATGCCCGGCCTCAGCTATAATAACTTTTAATGTTCTTGTCTACTAATTCCATCACCTGGGTCATCCTTGAGTCTGTTTTGATTGATTTTTCTCTTCACTCTGGATCATTTTTCTTGTGTGTGTGTTTTGTTTTGTTTTGTTGTTGTTTTAGCTTGCCTGGTAATTTTGCTAAATTTTTATTTTGAAATATAGATTTACACGAAGTTGCAAAAATAGTAGAGTTCCCATATACCCTTAACAAGCTCCCCCAATGATGACGTCTTATATAATTTCAGTACAACATACAAACTAGGATACTGGCATAGTACAATCCACAGGGCTCACAGTGGATTTTGATTTCGCATCCTCATGTGTGTGTGCGTTTGTGTATCACTACAGTTTTCTCACATGTCCAGTTTTGCGTTAACGACCATCATAATCAAGATGCAGGACTGTCCCATCACCCCAAGGGTCTCTTGTGCTACTCCTGCCCAATTGGCCCCATCTCTTCCCCCTTTGCCTGCCCCCACTCCCATTTGTAACCCCTGTAGGCCTCTGATCTGTCCTCCGTCTCCACAATGTTGTCATGTGAGTGTGTTGTATGAATGCAACACGCAGTCTGTGACCTTCTCCCCCACTCTGTGAAGCTCCCTTCCGGCTTCTCACGTTGCTACTTGTTGCATGGATCATGCGTTCACACCGTCTTCTTGCCAAGCGTATTTCGCGGCAGGAATGCACCAAGCCTGTGGAACCACTCACCCGCTGGTGGACATCTGGGCCCTTTCCACTTCTTGGCCATTGTAAATAAAGCTGCTGTGAACATCTGTGTACACATTTTTGTGTGGACTTAGTTTTCCTTTTACTGGAGCAAATGTCTAGGAGTCTGATGCTGTGCTACACGGTAAATGTGTTTGCTTTTTAAGAAACCGCCCGCGTATTTGCAAGAGCGGCTGTACTGTGCTGCGTCCCTCCAGCGAGGTGTGGCAGGGCCAGCTTCCCCACATCCCTGCCCACGTTCGGTCCAGCACTAGTTTGAGCTGGGCTGTCCTGGGAGGTGTGAGCTGGTGTGCAACACCTCCTAGGGTGTTCATCTGCCATCATTACATCCTCTTCAGTGAAATTTCCCTTCAGGTCCTTGCTCAGTTTATACCTAGATTGTGTGTTTTATTGCTGTTGCGATGTGAGTTGTTTCTATGTTCTAGACACACATCCCTTGTCAGATGCGCAGTTCACAAATGTTTACTCCTGCCTGTGGCTTCTTGACAGGTCTTTTACAAAGCAAACATTTTACATTCTGATGAAGTTCCGTTTATCTTTTTTTTTTTTTTTTTTTGGATTGTGCTTTTTGTGTCGTGTCTAAGAATCCCTCCAAGTCCTAGGCCCCAAAGATTTTCTTTTCTATTTTTTTTTATTTTTATTTTTTTTGAGATGGAGTCTCGCTCTGTCACCAAGGCTGGAGTGCAGTGGCCGGATCTCAGCTCACTGCAAGCTCTGCCTCCCGGGTTCCCGCCATTCTCCTGCCTCAGCTTCCCGAGTAGCTGGGACGACAGGCGCCCACCACCTTGCCCGGCTAGTTTTTTGTATTTTTTAGTAGAGATGGGGTTTCACCGTGTTAGCCAGGATGGTCTTGATCTCCTGACCTCGTGATCCGCCCGTCGCAGCCTCCCAAAGTGCTGGGATTACAGGCTTGAGCCACCGCGCCCGGCCAAGATTTTCTCCTATGTGTTCTTCTAAAAGTTTTGTAGTTTTACCCTTTACATTTAAATCTATAATCCACTTTGAGTTAATCTTTTACAGGGTGTGTGGTTCAGGTCCACACTAACCCCTTTGCCTGTGGATGGCCAACGCTCCAGCACCATGGAGCGAACACACAGTCCCCTGGCACCCAAGGGCTCCCCCAGCACCCCCAGTTGCTGCCCTTCTCAGCTCTCCGGGCCACCATGCCCCAGGCAGCAGGTCTGCTGGACACCCCAGCACCCCTGACTCCCACTTGCACCTCTGGACACCTCACTGTATCCTCAGCCCCTCCCTAAGCCCACCACCTCGGCCCTGCCCCTCCCCTCCAACCCAGGAAGAAGGACCCTTTGCAGACAAGGAGAAAGAAGAGAGGGGCAGGACAGGCTCCCAGGCAGCACCTACAGGAGGAGAGTCTGGGGGTGGGTCCCCGGCTGGGCAAAGACTCTGGCAGTGGTCCAGTGGATGCATCTCCCAGGTGTCTCCCGTGGGCCCCAGGCAGAACCCAGGCTCCAAGCAGCACCTCCAGACTTGCGTGGGAAGTGGGGTGAGGTTAGGGTGGGTTGGGGGAACATAATGACTGAGATGGGAGAGGGACTGGGATCCAAATTAAGTTGATTTACATAAAACTAAGGCAGGCAAGGTTCGTGGTCTGGTTTTCCAGCCACTGCTCCAACAGGTGGAGTCGGCCTCACCCCACCCTACTCCTGGGCCCAGGACAAGTCCAGGCAGTGTGTCTCCAGCCTGGCCCAGGGCAGACTCTGCTTTTTTTTTGTTTTTTTTTTTTTTTGAGTCTCACTCTGTCGCCCAGGCAGGAGTGCAGTGGCGCAATCTCAGCTCACTGCAACCTTCACCTCCCGGGTTCAAACGATTCTCCTGCCTCAGCCTCTCAAGTAGCTGGGACTATAGGCATGCGCCACCATGCCCGGCTAATTTTTGTATTTTCAGTAGAGATGGTGTTTCACCATGTTGGCCAGGATGCTCTCAAGCTCCTGAGCTCAAGTGTTCCGCCCGCCTCAGCCTCCCAAAGTGCTGGGATTACAGGCGTGAGCCACCGCGCCCAGCCAGTCAGACTGTCATTTCTAACACAGCCCAAAGGTTCTAGGCAGGAGCTCTGTGGCTGGGCTGTGTGGCTCAAGTTCTCTGGCAAACCGGAGTGCTGACAGCGAGAGGCCTGATGGGTGGGCCCCGTGCTGCCGCCAGTGCCGTGAGCTCTGCCAACCCTGGAATCACCAGCCTCAGTTTCTCCATCAGTAACACCACTTCCTCAGGCAAAGCATGGAAGGAAATGACACAAAACTCGACACCAAAGGCATTCACAAAATGGGAGTCGCTGCCACTTCCATTGCAGACAAGGCTTTAAAGTCAGGACTTCTAGGAAGGGAATGGGGCAAGGCGGGGCTAGGAAACAGCTCTAGCAGTGTCACTCAGGCTTCTGACAGCTTTCAGAGACCGAGCCGGCGGGGTAAGCCTTGTCCTGCGTGGGTGTGCACCTGCCAGACTCACACCTGCCTGGCCCACACCTCCCGGTACCCACACCTCCCGGGGCGCACACCTGCCTGGCCCACACCTCCTGGGCCCACACCTGCTCAGGGGTGTTCCCGTCCTCTGCGTACACCCGGGGGTCTGCTCCGAGCTTCAGAAGCACCTCCACGGCTGCCAGGTGGCCCCCAAAGGCTGCGCGGTACAGTGGCGTCCGACCGAAAGCGCCCTGTAAGATGGGCTCCCTGAGCAAGATCCAGGCCTTGTCCCTGGGGGAAGGAGGCCCCGCGCTTCGGCCCGCAGCCCACGGCGCCCACCTTGCTGTTGGGGCTGGCGCCGAGCTCGGCCAGCAGCTGGATGGCCAGGGACTGCCCGCCCGCGGCCGCCTCGGACAGCGGCGTGTTCCCGTGGCTGTCCTCGCACTCCACCAGAGCCACGCGTCGCTGCAGCCGCCGCGCCTTGCCTGCCTCGTCATGGCCCACGCCCTCGCGGGTCAGCAGCTGCTCCACCTGCGCCGCCCGCCGCAGTCACTGCTCTCCGCTCCTCCCACTCCACCCCCACCCCCCGCCCCCGCCCCCGCCCTTCTCCCGCCCCCGCTGACCTCCTTCAGCACCGCTCGGATCTCGCCCACGTCCCCGTCGAAGGCGGCGTCCAGCAGGCGGCGGCGACGCTGCAGCTCCTCCCGCCGCTCCCGCTGCGCCGCCTCCTCCTGCTCGCGCTGCCGCCGCGCGGCCTCCTGCTCCCGGCGCACCAGGGCCAGGTAGGCCTGGGAGGCGCCCGCCCGAAGTCACCGCCCGCCCCGCGCCACCGCCCGGAGCCCCGAGGCCACCGTCCACGCCTCTGAGGTCGGAGCCCAGCCTGAGCTCCACACCCCCCTCCACGCACCCTGCTTCGCCATTTCCTCCTGCCTCCTGCCCTGGCCCCCGGGGGTCGCGGCCGCCCGTCCTCACCTCCCTCTGCAGCTTCTCCATCTGCTCCAGGTACTCCCGGCGCTCCTCCCGGCGGCGGGCGAGCTCCCTCCTGGCCCGGAGCTGCCGGAAGGCGCCCTGGATCGCTCTGGCCGCTCGGTCCTCCGCTCGGTCCTCGGCAGCCCCTGGGGTGGGGAGAGGCTCACGCGGGCGCGTTCTCGCCTCCAGCCACGCCGGCTGCGCCGCTGGGAGTGGAGCCGGCCCCGCCCCCGCCCCCACAGAAGGACCCAAACGGCTCTCAAAGCCCCCAGCGCGGCCGAGCCGGAGTTCCCGCCCGCAGAGGCCGCACGAGGAGGCTGCGCGAAAGCCCGGGACGGGGAGAGGACCCACGTCTGCGGGAACCTCCCCTGCCCCACGCCTCCGGGGACCCTGCGAGCCCCGCCGAGCCCGCAGCTCGGGAGCCCCGAGGAACGGTGAGGAAGCGGCCCTGTCCCCCGCGGGACTCCCTCCCCGAAAGCCGAAGGCCCCTCCTGCATCCAGGCCCCAGCGAGGTCCGTCCTCTTCGGACTCGGCCTCGCCCTCGCCCCACCGCGGCTGCAATAGAGCGCTGGGCCCGAGCCTGGAGCCGCCTCGTAGGGAGGAAAGGGGCGGAGGAGAGGCCGTCGGGCCCAGCCCTGCCCTTAGTGGTCTCGGGAAGTCACGGCACCACTCAGCCTCCCCGGCTTCAGCCCCTTGCTGTAACGTGGAACAACACTGGCAGCTTTCTAAGAGTCTAGCAATGGGGCGCTTGTGGAGCTTCCGCCACAGTGAACGCTCAGCGTGCGCCCCGTGGGTGTGACTTGCACCAGGGCACGGGCAGAGGCGGGGGTGGGGGGTGTTGGTCGAGGCTGTCGGGCCACGTGGGCACCCAGCAGGGAGCCACAGCTGTGCAGAAGGCCACGGCAGCCCAGGCCAGAAGCAAGCAGGCAGCTCAGCTGGGTCTCCACAGGTGTCCCCACTGGGGAGCCAAGTACTATGATTCCCACAACCAGGCTCCCAGGGAACATGGACAGAATGGTGGGATGAGGCGAGACTGGGAGACTCGGAAGGCCCTGCAGGCCCTGGGCACGGACCGGAGCAGCCAGAGGGGGCAGGGTGGAGAGCTGAGTGCATGTGGGAAAATCAATGTGAAGGGGAATAAACGGAGAGTCACCGTCAGGAGGGCGAGACACCAAGTGGCAGTGGACAGAGATAATAGGGTCATAAGAATAACGAGTGTCTAGAATGCAGATCCTGACAATGGAAACAAAGAACAGACACTCAAGATAAAATCCAGGAAATCCTGAAATGAACCTTAAGACCAAAGGGGGAAAAAATCCCAGAAAACAAAGGGCATGAACAACAGGCATCAGACACAACTCGGTGAAGTTGAGCCTCAACACAAAATGTTTTTCAGGCACCGGAGGAGAAAGAGCAAAGCACCTATGAGAGGAAAGTCCGGCTCTCCTGAGGCTTTTCTTTTCTTTTTGAGACAGGGTCTCACTCTGTCACCCAGGATGGAGCACAGTGGCACAATCTCTGCTCACTGCTGCTTCCACCTCCCCGGTTCCAGCAATCCTCCCACCTCAGCCTCCCGAGTAGCTGGGACCACAGGCACACGCCTGTACACCACACCCACCTCCTAAAGCTTTTTACGGAAACACTAAATGTTAGAAGAAAATGAAGCAAAGTCCACAAAATTCTGCAGGGAAAACAGTGGGCCAGGAAGAGTATGTGGTTCTGCAGCAGAGTTGGCAGGGCAGGACGTGCAGCCTTCCCAGTGACAGCAACAGAAAAGACAGACGGAATCAAAGTGTTTTTTAAACAAGTGTCTGACGGCATTGAAAGCTACTGAGGAAGTGAAGAATGAGGTCTTGAGGAGAACAGTGCAGCAGGGTGGTCCCAGCACCAGGAAGGTGAGCCTGGCCTGGAGACTCGGGCAGCTGGGCCTGGCCTGGCCCAGAGCAAAGGGTCAGCTGCTCAGCAGGGGATGGGCCAAGGGACAGACCTGTATTTAGAGTACTGGGTATGGCTTGGGTTTAGGGTTGCAAGATTTAGCTAATAAACAGGATGCAATTTGGGGGACATACACTAAATAAATTATTCACTGTTTATCTGAAATTCAAATTTAGGCCAAGTGTAGTGGCTCACTCCTCTAATCCCAGCATATTGGGAGGCTGAGATGGGAGGATTGCTTGAGCCCAGGAGTTTGAGGCCAGCCTGGACAACATGGTGAGACCCTGTCTCTCTTTTAAAATATATATATAGGGCCAAGTGCAATGGCTCACATCTGTAATCCCAACACTTTGGGAGGCCAAGGTGGGAGGATCACTTGAGCCCAGAAGTTCAAGACTAGCCTGGGCCACGTAGGGAGACCCCTGTCTCTACAAATAACTAAAAATTAGCTGGGTGTGGTGGTGCACATCTGTAGTCCCAGTTACTCCGGAGGTTGAGGTGGGAAGATGGCTTGAGCCCAGGTCAGTGCTGCAGTGAGCCATGATCATGCCACTGCACTCCAGCCTGGACAACAGAGCAAGACCCTATCTCAGTAAAATGTATATATTTTTATATTACACATATAGAATATGTATATATGAGAAATTCAAATTTAAATGGATGTCCCGGTTTATGGGAGCCCTGTTTTATCTGGTAGCCCTATTTGGGTCAGAATCACAACCTTCACAAAATAAAATAACCCTGATGGGAACAGGGGCCCAGCTCCAAAGAGTGACAGCAAACGAAGTCGTCTTCATTTGCAGATGATGCACATAAAAATCCCAAAGAACTCATCACAAATGATTATCATCAACAAGCAATCTTGGGAAGGTTCTGAATATAAGCTCATACTCACAAAGTATATTTCTGTACACAAGCAACAAAAAGAAAATTTAATTATTATATTGGCATCAAAAAACTATCATATACTTGGATTAAGCCCACAAAATAAATGTCAGTGAGTCCATAGTGATAGAAATAAGGGATTAAATACACACCAGAGGGAGTGGAGGGAAAGTAGAATCCCATCAATGGGTATAGGATGGGGCAGGGAAGGAGCAGATTGCCATCGGGCACACAAGAAGTGCAGCTACTGCAGCTGACAGCCGCCGACGCATGTTTCAGTGGGTTTGAAGAAAAGCAGAATTTCTCTTGTCTCAATATCTCTCTCCCAAGATAAGTGTCACCCACAAAAGGAAAACATAGTACATTTACAAAGGAGAAACCCAGCGGAAACCCCCCAACTAAGTGATTCAGTACAACATCAAAAGCAGTGAGACGTTCGCAGAACCCCCCCACTCCGCCCCGCGACTGAGTGATCGAGGGCAGCAGCATAAGCGGTGAGATGTTCACAGAACCCCCCCCGCCCCCCCACTAAGTGATAGAGGGCAGCATCATAAGTGGTGAGATGTTCACAGAACCCCCCCCGCCCCCCCCACTAAGTGATCGAGGGCAACATCACAAGCAGTGAGATGTTTGCGGAGAACCACCCCGTGACATGATGTACGTCGAAAACACAACATAATTTCTGCTTTATTTTATTTTTAATTTTTAGAAACAGAGTCTCAGCCGGGCACAGTGGCTCACACCTTTAACCCCAGCACTTTGGGAGGCCGAGGCGGGCGGATCACCTGAGGTCAGGAGTTTGAGACCAGCCTGGCCAACATGGTGAAATCCTGTCTCTACTAAAAGTACAAAAATTAGCTGGGTGTGGTGGCACATGCCTGTAATCCAGCTACAGGGGAGGTGGAGGCAAGAAGAATCACTTGAACCCAGGAGGTGGACGTTGCAATGAGCCGAGATCGAGCCATTGCACTCCAGCTGGGCGACAGAGCGAGACACTGTCTTAAAAAAAAAAAGGGGGGTCTCATTCTGTCAGCCAGGCTGGAGTGCAGTGGCTCGATCTTGGCTCGCTGTAGCCTCAACCTCTCTGCCTCAGCCTCCTGAGTCGCCAGGACCACAGTTGCACACCAACACATCCACACTCACTCTTCAAAAGTGTCAAGGTCGTGAAAGAAAAGTAATGACTACAGGAACAGTTACAGACTTCAGGTAACTATGCAGAAACAGCAAATAAAGGCAATATGGCATCCTGGAAAAAGTGGTGGAATCTGAGAAGGTCTTTAGTTAATGGTTTTATGCTAGCGTTAATTTCCTGGTTCTGATCCTTGTATTGTCCCTATGGAAAACGTTAACCTTAGAGGAAGCTGGGTAGGTTATACATCTATGGAAAATCCCCATACTCATTCTGTTACTTTTCTGTGAGACAAAAACTACTTGAAAATAAAAAGGTAAACAACTGTCAAATACTAGGATTAAATCTGACAAAGATGCACACAAGATCTCTATACACATGAGCGAACACACACACACACACACCCATAAAACATTTTTGAAAAGCACTAAGAACAGAAAACAAAAGGAGAGATATACCATATTTGTAGATTGAGTGGCCACTGCTATAGAGCTGACACTCTCTGCACATTGAGCTAGAGGTTCAACGAAATCCTAATGAAGACCACCCAGCAGGGCTGTTTTGCTTTGTTTGTATGAGAATTGACCAAGTGATTCTCGAATGTATCTGGGAAAGAGCCAAGAATGGCAAATAATTCAAAGAAGAATCCGGTGGGAGGACTTGCTCTTCTTGAGATTAGGACCTCACGTCGGTGAAGACAGTGCAGTGTTCTCACACAGAGACCAGTGGCCGTGGGTTTAGAAACAGCCCCCTGGCATGTGGGCGCTTCCTGGCCAAGGGGCCTACAGAGCCGTGGGGAAGAATGGAGATTTCAGTCAGTGGTGGGGTCCAATCAGAAAACCCGTATGAGGAGAGGGAAGACATGTGTCTGCTACTTTACTCCATTCACAACAGGCAATTCCAGATGGACTGGTGATCGCACGGGAAGGCAAAACCATAAAGCTTGTAGAAGATCACATGGGAGAACAGCTTCAGGAACTTGGAGTTGGAAAGAAAGATTTATTTAAGAGACCACCACACACACACACACAAAAAGAAAACACGTTAAAATCAGTAAGTTCGTGTGTGTGTGTGTGTGTGTGTGTGTGTGTGTGAGATGGAGTCTTGCTCCATTGCCTAGGCTGGAATACAGTGGCTCGATCCTGGCTCACTGCAGCATCCACTTCCCTAGGTCAAGTGATTCTCCTACCTCAGCCT